GGCCCGCAAGCCTTACGCCAAACGATAACCAGCCAGGCATTCGCTTGTTTTGGCCATTCGCCAGCCAAATTTTTCCCCCTTTTTGCCGCGCCTCAACCCTTGCGGCCTGGCCGGGGCGGCCGTCGTCGGCCAGGGCATTTCCCTGATTACTTCCCTTGGTCGTTTGCAGCGGGAGCAGCGCAGCTCATTGAAAACGACAGTTCGTATACAGAGTAGCGGTAAGCGGCGCGTGCTATTTGGTGGTGGAGGCCGGAATGCAGAGATACAGCACTGTCCAGATGAGAATGCCGCGCGCAAATGTCACACACAATAACGTTTGTGATTGTTGTACAACTTAAAACGAGAGTACCTCAAGCTGTTGAGGGACCGGGCCGTGCCATCTCAGGAAAATACACTGGAAAATACAGGCGTTAAGGATGTTTTGGGTTCAGTTAGTAATCGCCGTGATGGTGCAATTGCGATTAGGTCTGAGTGCTTTAGTAAATAGAGCCTTGATGCATTGACCTTAACAGGTCCTTTGTTTCAGCAAAGTGCCACTCTCTGTTCGGCCCTCAATTAATTATCAAACAGGATATATTGTAACGCTTTTGAGGCGGGCATCCTTAAATCCACACAGACATAGAAAAAAAATCCTGTTTTGGTCCGCTTTCAGTTTAAGAGGAAAAGCCGGTCGGTCAAACAATCCGAGCACAAAGGTTCCGGCGAGCGGGTCCAGCACTCCACCAACTCCACCTGGAGCGGTGACGACAAAGTACTCGCAAAAAGGTTCCACTGTGGAACTTCCCCACAACTTTAAGAAAGCAGTTCACATTGTAAGACCTACTCAAAATAAGGGCGAGTTACGATGTATACATTATTAAAGGGGGAAATGCTTGTCGGTTTGCAGTGCAGGTGCACATTTTGAACAATTTACCGATTATCTACAGGTCTTGACCTCATCTACAAAGAAACTAGGCGCACATGTTGACGAAAGACTTAGAGCAGCGTACGCACCTGTTGAGGTGAGGATCCCGAGGAAGACGGCGTGAGCTCGTAGTTCAGGGTCACCTGCAAACCAACATGAGGTTAGACTTTCACACGCCAAAGCAGTACAGTACAGGACGCCACGAACATCCATAAAGTACGAGATTCACGTGCCCCAGTGCCAATGGACGTACAAGAGCGACGAACCCGATTAGACAGTACTAGAGCATCCCCATCCGGCCTGGCGAGAGCAGAAATTGGGATGCGTTAAAGAAAATATGTAAACAAGATCCCACGAAGAAATCGGTCAGTGGGAAGAGCACAAGTATTTGCAAACTCACCAAAAATTTAAAATGGTTCAATTTCTTGTGACAACGTTTTAATATATAATGGGCCACTGTTTGGTCCAGCTAGACCATTTTTACTTTCTAAAGCAAAACATGAAGGACTCACAACACTAACATGGCCGTGATGAAGAGCCAATTTGCTCCATTATTTTCCGAATAACGCCGTGCTTTACATAGTAATTAGGCACTCTAAATTAGGCGAGCTTACAGTGAGACGCTCCCTGATTTATTGCGTCAATAACAGCGTGTGAATAAGCCAAAGGACGCCTCGGCGGCTGGGGAGGAGAGGAGTGGACCTACAGGTCCAGACTCAGACTCGTGCGTAATTCAGGGCCAATCAAAAGCCGATCCCCAAAGAGGAGCCGCCGCAGGGGGAGGGCCAGCCCTCAGGGTCTGCAGTGTCGCTCCCTGTACCTCATCGCCTCAGCAGGCCAGGCTAAGGCGCGCAGAGCCCCAGGCGCAGGCCGGAAAGGAGGCTACGAAGATAATTACAAAGGCGGACGCGCTGACAACGAGGCTGATCTGAAGTCTTCTACAAACGGGCAGTTCGCACGTCGTTAAGAGTGTCGCCGACGGGCTCCGTCGCCTCCGCCGCACTTCACGACCGATAATAAACGCCTGCAAACACCCCGAAAGATGCTCACTGGGAGAGGTTTGACAAATTCAAACCAAATGTAACTTTACGAAAACAAAAACTAACATCATATTGCTTGCAATACGACATCGCACTCCTAAAAGCTTACAGTGATTTTCACCGTAAGCTACAGTAAAATCCTGCATGCTGCCACTGTAGCTCACAGTGAAAATCACTGTAAGCCTGCCTTTAAGAGTGCGCTTTGAGCGAGGGCATTCATTCCAACACGAAGAATGAGAACTCTACGCATTCCTATGCAAAATTTCGCTCCTTAGCAATTCACAGTGCAGATTGCCGTAGAAGCACGGCTGCGCCAAGGTGGAGAAATGAAATCAAGCTAACTCGGAACGCAGCGCCGCCGGCAGCGTGGCGTCAGCGCTCTCACCAGATAATGGTGCTGTCACTCCAAAGTTGGAGCCGCACCTTGGGTGTCGAAGGGCCGGAGGTCGCGTACACGCCTGCACCCCTCGGCAACAACGACAAGTGCAAAGGTGAGTGTCAGCAGCACCGTACGGTGGCAAAGTACAAACAGTTCAGTTGTAAAACATACGCTACGTATTGCTCGTCCCGGGGACACTCGGGCGTCAATTGATAGAGGACATTCATTCAACAGAAAAAAGAAAAAAACGGAGGAGGGTGCACATCAAAGCAAGGAGCAGGTAGTGTTGTACTTGGCCAAGTATGCAGGAGCTAATGTACTTGATCAAGTACGAAGGAGATAGTGTGGCCAAGCACACGCCATCATCTTCTGCATACATGACCGAGTACACACGTGGATCAACACGCCTTAGTCTACACAGTCTCTCGCATACATAGAAGGTTCAAGAGATACTGCTAACGAAGACAAACATGGGTCTGTTGAGTAGTATCAGGGCACATCGAGGAACCCCGCCGACATTGGTCGAGGACCATACGTTATAATTCAAATAGACTGAGAAAAAATCGGGGTCCGTGGTCCGTCTCGTTCTCCTGAGACAAGATATCTGACTCCAGTATTTATAGCGCACAACATTAATATGCGGCCTTCCAACCCATTGCGGCTCATTTATTGTGACAGCAGAAAGCATTAGAAAAAGTATACTTTAGTTTCAAGATAGAAATAAATTGAACACGGTGCAGTTAGTAAAAAAAATAGGAAAAGGCTGAAGGAAGAGGGGGAAAATCCCCGTAATAAGGCGATACCTGCGACGACTGCCGCCCTAGCCTGACTGGGGAAAGAAGTTTTTGAGGGGTCCGATCTGAAATGGGGTCACACAAAGTCTTCAAGTTTACACTGCAGCGTGGTCGATAAGCAATCACGCAAGGCTGAGCCGCCGCCGTTGCACGGCTCGGCGGGACGGGGCTAAGGCGGCAGGCGACGGCTGAACCACCCTAAGTCTATTTCAAGAGGGGACACGCACCCCTGGGGGGAGGTCAGGGGAATATGCTACTGCAAGGAGAGGGGGAGAGAATGTGCCCCTTTCAGTTTTCATTCCGATACAAGTGACAAGTGAGTAAGAGGGGACCAGGGGAGGGGTAGGGGGAGGTCACCAGAGGTCCATCCCTCCTGGAGTAGAAGCTAGTTGTGCTGCTGCTGCTGCTAATGCTGCTGCTACCGCCAACTTGACGAAACTCCGACCCTGTTTGGCCCACTGGGACGAGTAACTATGCCTGGTTTGGGAAATTTGACGACACGCCGCCAGACCGTTGGCGTTTCAAACAGTACAGCCACAAGCGTGATGATGATCGAGGCAATAAAAACCTGAGCACAACATTCAGAACAAAACCAGCAGCTAACATTTTGTCCAGAAAATTGCCGGTCGATTCAGGAGATCCCCGCCCGGCCGACGCCATTGTCCTGAAGCGCACTGCGTTTTAACCGGCGGTCACGTAGTATGAGCTACGCACGCGAATCCCCAAGAAGGAATTTCGAAAGAAGGAAAAGGGGTGCTTCCCCTGCATCCCGTTCAGAACTATTTAAACAAATCAATCCTACTTTTGCACATGATGTGGGCAAACAGTGCAGTAAAGCACTTTGTATGACCTCCCCACTCCCCATCCCCATCCTGCGGCCCACCTCATATCACAGATATGTGCCAAAATAAATGTTGTTGGCGTTCTGGATGCTGCGAGCGAGCCCCGCTGGTGTAAACTCCAACAGTTAGCAGTAGCGGCGGCAGCCACCTCCCTCCGGCTCTCTCCCACTCTCTCCCTCTCCCTCCCTCTCTCGCTCCAGCTCTCCCGGCCCGCCGCAGGCACAAGCAACGGGTCAGGTGTGCTTGCCTCCCCCTCTGCCCCCTCTTCCACGTCGTAGCGAGGCCCTTTACCTCCCGGTGCGCTGACCTTACCTTGGCGCTGGCTGGTGTTTTTCGTGTGTTTTCTTTTTAATGTGTAAGTTACGACAAGTGCTTTCGGCTTTCATTGACAAAAACAAGGGGGGGGGGGTATTAAGTTACGACTGTGTAGATCTGAATTTGCGACAGCAGTCTATTATGCATGACACAATCATGCACCGATGTAGAGTCATTACGGGCGCACACGCACGCAACCTATACCCTTCGCCAGCTCGAGCCAGTTGAAATCAATCGCTCAATCAACTGCTCGGCTACGGTACTTCAATCCCTAGACCCTCCTTTCCCCCGCCGCCACCGCAACCCTTCTTCAGCCGCCCCAGAGCACAACAGTCGGCGGCCTCCAAAATAACGCGCCCTTGACAAGCCAAACGAAGGCCCCGGGCAGCCGGATGTGGGTCAGGCCGGAGGCCAAGTCGACCTCGATCAGCGTCTCTCACTATCTCACCCCCACACCAAGAACGGCCAGAAAAGAACAGTGGTACAGAGACAATACCATTTGCACGGTAATTTTTTTTACATTATTTACACAAATTTACTTTGAATCCGGGAAGGGACCTTCACCGTCGAAATAAAACAACAAAACGCAAAGAACAAAAAAGTGGAATAAAAGAGCACATTTGTCATTGTTGATGATGGAGATAAGAGAGCAGTGCTTTTCGGTGAGAGGAAAGGGTGCACAACGCAGAGATTACTGGACGAGACTGTCGGTAAAGGGGAGGGATTGTTGGAAGTCAGGGAACCGGTCCGCATTCTCCAACGGAAAACGGCCGTAGGGAACGTGCGGCCGGGCGCAGCAAAGTCCCCCCGCGACGCGACCGACTGGGCGACCAAGGACCCCCGGGGAGAAGTTGGAGTGCGATAGAGCGAGAGAGAGAGAGAAAGAGGGGAGAAGAGAGAGGAAAAGTCTCAGCGCGCTGCATCGAACGAGCAATGCATTCTGTACCGAGAGAGCAGGCGAGGGAGGGAAGGGGGGGAGGGGGGCGCCGGAGTTGGAATGGCAGTAGTCGTGGGGCTCAAGGGGGAACACTCAGAGGGCGGCAGGACCGTAAAGGGTAGGCGGAGGGAGGAAGGGTGGGGGAGGGGGAGAGGTGCAAAAACCCGTCCAGGTGTAGCCCTTGACAAGAAAAAAGCAACACATCAGCTTTTAGAAGGTAAATTTGAATACGTATGCACACCAAAAGCTGTGTTTTACTACTAACCGCAATATCAATAGTAGAGTTAAGGAGGCACACGAACTAAAGACTGTGATGTTTCGTAACTGATTCACCACTGACGGAATATATTAAAACAATGACACAAAGGTTTACACAGCTTTTGTTCTCAGCTATACGCACCATATTTAAAGATATACATACATAATGGTTACAACAACAAACATTATACTGTCCTCGTTCTTGCTATACACGGGTGGCTAACAGAACAGCAGAGCCGGCCGGGCCGCTCGCCATATAGACATCAGCCGACACGTTGAGTCCCAGGGCAAGTTAGAGGGGTGGGGTTTTCCAGCAAAGCATATACAGTCGCCTCGCTATAAGGAGTAACCTGGCGGAGCAATAGCTGTACGCAAAAATTCTTATTGAAGTGTCTAAACGTAACTGTCTTGTAACAGGAATCATCCAGTGCTAAACGATAAAGTTTGGTCCATTATTGCTGAGCTTAACTTGAACTTGAAATTAAACTTTAACTTTAAATGCTCAGCTCTGTCATTGCTGAGCTTAACTTAAACTTGAAATTAAACTTTAACTTTAAATGCTCAGCTCTGTCAGGAAG